AAAAAAAAAAAAAAAAGGTAGAAAAAAGGTAGAAATGTTAGAAGACAGGAAAGACTGTGCTGACCAGGCACGAGGCACGGCTAGACATTCTTACTGATTAGCACCATTCGAAATGCAACCAGCCCCTTGTATTCCCCTTGCCTCCATTTTCTCATGCTTGTTCATTCCCAAGTCACCTAGACTCATCCCTTTCCCCACCTTTTGTYCCTCCCCTAAACATCCTATTGTGAGTCTTGTGCACTCCCCAAATGCTCTTGCCCTGGATCCCGCAGTGTTTTCCATGCCCCTAGGCAGTAAGTACTCTGCTCAGTCTGTGAGGTACTCTACAACCTCTCCACTGACTCACCGTGATGGGTGTCACCTCTAGGCCCATGGAACCGATGGCTCCCCCGCGACAGATGTAGRACGAGCTGGGACAGGACCTTCATTTCTCTTACTGGGTTATTTATGTTCCCTAGCCTGTGGTTGTCTCTCTTTGCTCCTTCCCCTTTGTGCAGATCAGCCTTCCATGGGTTGATTGCACTTGTGTATGTGGTACTCTTGGATTAGCAAGGCCAGAGGATTATTTGGGTTCCCCCAAAGCCATTTTCCCTCTGTGCCCCTTTCTGTGTGTGGAGGTGAACTTTTCCCCACATAACCTCACTTTTATACTGGGCCATTTCTGCAACACTTTCTGGTCCTCTACTCTCAGTTATTCAACGTGTCTATTTGAGAAAACAGACTCTCAAATACAGTTAGAGGAACAGATTTTTACCTAACCACACATCATGCATCTTGTAGCCATTTCCTCTCATCTTAATGTATAATTATATCAAGGGGAAAAGTAGAGTAGTCTACCAAACCAGTATAGCTGCCAGTGCCGGTGTCTGATTAACCTTCTTACCCTTTCTGCTTTAGCTCCTGAAATAGCAGCGATTTGCTAGATTATCTTGCATCTCCTTTCCATTCTAAGAACACCGTTTGTATATTGAAACTTTCTGGTTTGTGGATCAGCTTCTAAGCAGATTAAGGTTTATAACTGGCTTGCAGAAAGTTAGATCTCTCAYGTAACTGACATTAGTGTTAAACGTGGACAGGAGCAAACGGCCAGCGCTGTGAGAGTCACAGGAGGAAGACCATCATTCCTGTAGCATAATTATTCTGACCCCAGATACATATGGGAAACAACGGCAGCTCCACAGTGGATGATCTACAGGCTGTCGAGATCCACCACTGGTACAAGAAGTTCATGACAGAGTGTCCCTCTGGACAGCTGACGGAGCATGAATTTAAGCAGTTCTTTGGGCTTCGAGGGCTGGATCCAGAGGCCAATAAGTACATTGAGCAGATGTTCCGCACGTTTGATATGAACAAGGTGAGTTCTCCGGCAAGCAATTAACTGTTTCAGGCTGCTTAAAAGGGATCCGACTCCGGACTTTTCGAATCTGTTTTTCTCTCGCAACATAAAGACCATAAATGTTCTCTTGCAAACATTGGTGTGGAAAGCACCAAGGGATGCTAATATAAAGTAGCTAAATGCAAGGAGCAAAGAAATGTGTACAGGTAATAACACAGATGACATAAACATAGGTTCACCTGATTATCTAACTACCTCGTGTAAGCTCATCTTTGAATTTTGAAAATTCCTTATTGCATATTATTTGACTTGGCCTTGTTTGACTAGAAAAATGCTAATTTAATTATTCTTACATATTCTTACTATTCTTACTATTCTTACATATTCTTATTATTTAAGAATATACCTGTATGAGATCATGGAGACCATGGGAATCAGACAGAATAGAAGTCATTATAGCATTATAGAGTAGTAATTTCCAGGTATTTGGCAGCTGAAATTAACACTGCACGGGCRGATGTCTGTGGCTCTCCTCGGTGCCGGGTGGAGCAGCACGAAGCAGGGGTGAGGGGGTGGGTAGCATTCCTCACATTGCAGGGTGCCTGCTGGTAGAAAACAGTAGCCCCCATAATTCCTTTAAGCATGCAGCGGCCCTCTCTTTTGCCTACTTTTTATCAGTATGTATTCCAGCCTATGCTTGCAGGCCTGTATCCTTTAATGACAAAGAAATCTGAGTTTATGGCATCCTGGGAAAATTCAGCTTTGTTCTCTGCTCCAAGGTTCTGAAATGCTGTCAAGGAGGGTCCAGTCACAGAGGCGTGTGAATCAGGTGGGAAATCACAGAATTAGTCTTCAAGAAGGAAAGCTTGGGGACCGACAAAGAATGTTATTTTGGATATGTGAGACAGCATAAGGAGTTAAGGGATGCTTAGGAATATTACAAAATTCGTAGAGAGAGAGGAGCAGACAGGCTCCATTAGGGTAGCTGAGGTATTTTGRTGGATGTATTGACTGGAAATTATTGCAGACCTCAAAGAACATCTTATCCCAAAATCCTCTGTGCCCAGGATGATAATAGTGATGACAAGCAGTTTCATAAGCTAAAGCAAAACTTTTACMGCTTTTGCACAAAAGCTTTCAAGCTTTCTTTCACTTCACCTCTCTCAATGCCTGGGACATTTAAGGACTTTAAAATTTGTTCAAGGATGCTGTGCATTTCAGAATTCTCTTGTGAGCCCTCTTGTGTTATGCAGTAAACAATGGGATAAGATTCTCAAATTCAAATTTAGTCAAAAAACATAAAAAGCTATCATCTAAATAAAGTGATAGTGATCTCAGGAGGAATGAAGTAAGACTGTGATAACTAGTGGAGATGGACCTAGAACAGTTAATGTTAGTCTGTTAATAGTTAGTCACTTAATCTAAGCGCCTTTTATGAACAATGGCAAGGAATGAGTCCACCCAGGGAAAATCCACCCTGTCATAATACAGACATGGATGGAATGGGATGGAATCATCTGCCCTCAGGACCTTCAGATTTTTAAAATTCTGATGATGACAAAGGAGATAAATTTTCAGTATTCTTCTTTTATAAATTGCACTTGTAGAATTGTAGAATSGTTTGGGTTGGAAGGGACCTTAAAGATAATCTCATTCCAACCCCCTCCCATGGGCAGGGACACCTTCCACTAGACCAGGTTGCTCCAAGCCCTGTCCAGCCTGGTCTTGGACACTTGCTTCAGGGATGGGGCAGCCATAGCCTCCATGGGCAACC